CGAATATTGTCTACAGAGTCATCGGTCTAGCCAGGAGGGATCGCTTGGACGATGTCCGCGACCCAGGGGCGAGAAGATGGATTGATGCCGTCACCGATCGCGTGCGAGCACGGACGCGCAGGAAGTGGAAAGACATTGACGTTGCGGGAATAACTACCCGCAGAGACAACGCGTTACGAGGTAAAGCTGCTTTTCACAGCAACATCTGGACAGCTTTTGCCTGGTTGCCCACGTCCCCAGATGACGAGCTGCCTGCCCCGCAGCGTCCCTGCAAGCTCGCAAAGACGAGGAGGTTGGCTTGTAGATGAACCGAGTTCCAGAATCACCATCTCAATGCGCCTGCGACAGGGGAGGATGCGGTAGTTCACCCGAAGGTGCGGTGGCCGTAAATCAGCAGGAGTGTTATGATGGGTGAAGGCCACGCCACCCTGAACCACCATGACTGGGGCCACGCCCGTCCAGCTGAGCGCCGCAACGACGAACCGCGCGCGGACGGCCCGCGCGGCGCGTGGCGGCTCCAGGAGCAGAGGAAGTCGAACCGCTCAGCCATCTAACGGATGCGATGGAAAAAGGAGATCGTGGACCGCTGGCCGCAAGCAGAGTTCCGAAGGGCCCCGGCGCCGAAGGCGCGTGCAACGGGCACAGAGGCGCCAGCCGACTATGTCGGAGCCAACGCGTCTTCTCGCGAGCCATCTGCCAAGGGGGCCTAAGAGGCCGAATTCTGCGACGCCCGAGGGCCGCGCCGCAGCAGCCAGGACGTCGGGCGACGCCGCGGGCAAGGGCAAGGACAAAGAGAGCAGCGGCAAGGGAGCAAGGAGGCCAAGCAGTCGCGCACCAAATTATCAACGAGAATCCAGGCGGCGCCGAGCTGAGAGCCCGACGCAGTGAGACGCGTCCCGCAGCGCGGGGGCTGCTTCTTCGAGCTCAACGCCCGCTGCGAGGCCAGCTGCCGCCCGCGACTTCCGGCATTGGGCTCCACCGCGGCGCGCCGAGGCGGACGCCGCGCGGCGCCGCGCGGACGAGGCCAGGGCGCCCCGCATGCGGCGCGCGTGTCCCGACGCGGAGCAGCAGACTACGGCTTCTTCGCCTCCGTGGCAGGGGGGTGCCACAGATTGGTGGTCGTCGTGGAATTGGGGCTCTGACAACTGGCATGATCACAGCTGGAGCCAAGACGATCACAGTTGGAGGTGGGATGGGGGGGAACGAGGGGCAAGGCGGCTATGCCGAGAGTGCCCCTTCAAGCCTCACAATCGCGGCTCACATGCGTCCAGAAGGGATGCAGTGAGCCGCCGTAGCACAAAGGTGCCATGCGCCCGCGTCTTTACGCATGGCGAGCCAGGCGGCGGGGGCGCTGTCTGCCGGGCGCTACGTTGCAGGGCGTTTGTTTATATCAGATCCGGTGCGCTAACTCAACCAATTGCGCCCGCGAGCTAAATCAGCTGCCCCGACCGCGCGAGTGGAGCTTGCCGGGCCGGCCGCGGGGTGAGTTGATCTAGTGGCCCCTTCGCGTGCCTACTACCATGCACGGCGACATTTCCGCAGCTGTGAGTTGGCTTCGGAAGTAAGAATAGCGCCCCGCATCGCCGCGCGCGCCTGCCCGGCCGGCGGGGTCCCGTCTGTCTGTCACAGTCGCGATTGTTGCAGGATGAACATCAAGAATTATAACCACGAGATGGGCGTGAACACTTTTGGCCGATCAACTGGGCCACGAAAGCTCCCGTTGCAACAAAGAGTTGGCAACGTACTCTCCTGGGTGTATATACGAGTCTCTTGGGGTGCCTGTCTGGGGGCCCTTGGAGAACTCATGGGGGCGTCTGGGAGGCCTTTGGGAGAACTTGGGCGGCTTCTTCGGGGCGTCATGGGGGCGTCTTGGAGGGGCCTCTGAGGGGCTCGGAGGGGGGGGGGGGGGGCGCTTTTTTGGGGAAGCTCGAACTGTCAGTTCGTACTCCCCCTCGCGGGCTTTCTTGAAGCCATCTTGGGGCCCTCCAGGGGCTGTTTTGGGCCGCGCTGTGGAAGCCAAAAGAAGTCCGCGTGGAGCTCTGGCACGATATGTTTGCGCAGTTTGTGCATTGTTCTTCTATGCGAATCATCGACCCTCTGCCTGCGGGAGACGCCAATTTGATGAAATGTGGGCCGAAATCCCACCCTTGCTAGAGGACTGCGAGTTACCCAGTTGTTGGGAAAACAGCTGAGGGAACCCTGGAGAATGACCTGCTGGGCCGCCTTGAGGCTTATTGGGGGCTCCTGCCCGACATTTTGCGCCTGCTTTGGGGGCCTGTTGGAGCCCTTTTGGGTGGGCAGTCTTGACGTTCTTGGGTGGCCGTTTGGCACCTTCGGAGGCCGTCTTGGGGGACTCTCTGGAGGCCGTCTTGGGGTTTTCTGAGCGCCTTTCGAGGCAGTCTTGGGGCTGTCTGGGATATCTCTTAGGCCGTCGGGAGGCCCTCTTGGGCCGTCTGGGGCCCCACTTGGGGATATGATGTGCCATATAGAGGGGATGTTGGGGTGTCTTGGGCCGCTTGGACGCCCGTGGGAACAAGTTGCTTGAAGATCCGAAACTCACTCAAACACCCGAGGGTGATCAATTATGTTGACCTCACGAGGCCCTGCTGGAGGGCCTCTTGAAGCCTTCGCGGGGCGTGTTTGGGGCATCTTGGGCAGTCTTGAGGCCATCGTTGGGTGCCTTTGGGGCATATGGCGTCCGTGCGGGGGTAATTCGAGCCCACTTGGGGCATTTTCCGACATCTTACGCCGACCTGATACCGACCATGTTGCAGCCATTTTGGGCTGGGAATCCGACGGAGGCTGGTTTTCCTGGTGGTCGGCGGGTCGGTTTTAAGATTGAATATCCGGCAGTGGCCACATGATGTTGCAAGATTTGGCACCCTAACACCCGTGTGGCAGGAAGCGGGAGCGGTGGATCGACGACGCCTACGGCGAATCACCGCCGCCCCCTGCGTGTGAGGATCCGCCTATGCGGCCAAACGTTTGGACAAAGTTTGGCCACGCAATTGCACCATGCACTCACCGAGCCGGTGTGGAAGCCCTTCGGGGAACACGGGGGAGGAAGAGGAGGATGAGGAGAGGAAGGAAAAAGGAGGATGAGGAGAAGGATGAAAAGACCTAGTGGGAGCTTTTCGGGCCATTTTTCTTGCCTTCTGGAAGCTTCCTGGGGGCATCTTGGAGGCCTCTTGGTGGCCTCATTGGGCCTCTGGCGGACCTTTGGGATCTTCTGAGTGGCCTCTTTGGCAATCTTGCGGCGTTCCTGGCCCGTCTGAAGCCGTCGGAAGCCGTCTTTGGAGCTTCTTTGGGCCATCTTGAAGCCTTCTTGGGGCCCTTCAGGGACGTCTTGGAGGCCATCTTGGAAGTCTGGGAGGCCTCTTGGGCCGGCTTTGGCCCCTTGGGGCCGTTTTGGGGACTTTTTGGGTTGTCATGGAGCCATTTTGGAAGCCTCTTGGGCGATCTTGGGGCGATCTTGGGGGCATGTTCGGGCGTATTGGGTCGTTGGACGTGCGAACAGGTTAAAGAGCCGGAAACCTCCAACAACCTTGAGAAGAACAATTAGCTCGGCGAAACCCCCAACCATATGTAGTTGTGAATACCGCATTGTGAATATCTTCTCCGGTGGCGCTCCCTATGGGGCCACAGCCCATGCGAGGGGTGCGCCGAAACGAACGAAGACGATAGGTTTGAGTGTACTGGGTGTGGCGGACGCATGCGGGCACCCCCACCTGGGGCCTTTGGTGGAGTTCCCTATGGGGCCACGAAACGCTGTACTTTGTGTGGCGGACGCATGCGAGCACCCCCACCTGGGGCCTTCGGTGGAGCTCCCTATGGGGCCACGAAACGCTGTACTTAGTGTGGCGGACGCATGCGGGCACCCCCACCTGGGGCCTTCGGTGGAGCTCGCTATGGGGCCACGAAACGCTGTACTGGGTGTGGCGGTCGCATGCGGGTACCCACACTGGGGCCTTCGGTGGAGCTTCCGATGGGGCCACGAAGCGCTGTACTGGGTGTGGCGGTCGCATGCGGGCCCCCCCACTGGGGCCTTCGGTGGAGCTCCTCATGAGGCGACGAACCGCTGTACTGGGTGTGGCGGTCGCATGCGGGCACCCCCACTAGGGCCTTCGGTGGAGCTTCCTATGGGGCCACGAAACGTGTGAGAGGTGCGCTGAAACGGGTGATAACGATGATGACGGAGGAGGGAGGAGGGAGGGAGCAGCGGGAGGAGGAGTGAACGTGGGAACCGTCTCTTCAAAACGAGGACCCAAATCCACAGGATGGTTGGGAATCATGTTGGCCGTTTCGAGCCTTTCTGGAGGACTTTTTGGACGCCTCCTGGGCCGTCTTTGAGGCCACTCTGGGGCCTCTTGGGACGTCTTGGGACATCTTGAGGTTGGGGCCTCGCCGTGGCCATTGTGGGGGGAAGTGCTCGATCTGTCGGTTCGAGTTCCCCCTTCGGGGCCTCTTGGGTCCTCTTGAGTTCTTCGGGGGCTGTCTTGGAGCTATCTTGGGGGCATCTCGGGCGACCAAGAGGGTGGCCAGCTCGACGCATGTTGAAAGTAAAGCAAAGAATCTCAATCAGCTTCCGAGGTCCCTGAAATGTCGTATGACGCCCCGAAAGAGTCCGAGAGGGCTGGTAACTCCAGGATCTTGTGTCTGCAATGCCGAACGACGCATCTTGACTGCATCGCTCGCGCAATGATGCCGTCTGCGGCCCAAAAGGACACAGACGAGCCCACCTGCGAAACGGGCCTCGGCGTTGCCTGCTCCTGTACCCCGAGATCGCGATGCCGAAGTGAGCGACGGCAGCGACGATTACACCGTCCTCGGCGGTGGCATCCAGCCACCCAGCCAGCACGCTTCCAGGATGGCCAGGCAGCCAGCCAGCAACCCAGCCACCAAGCCGCCCAGCGCACCAGCCGCCCACTCAGCTGCAGCGGCGGCTGCTGCTGCAGCGGCGGCGATGGCGGCGGCGGCGGCGGCCGCGCCGCGCCGCGCAGGAGCGCGCGCTCGCCCGCGCGGAGGCCGCCCTGCGGGCGGAGGCGCGCGCCGTGGCGGCGGAGGCTCCGCCGCCCGGGGGCCCGCCGCCGACGCGTCGACGGCCACCGAAGCCGCTTACCGTCGCCCCCGTCGCCGCAGCCGTATTCGTCGGTCGCTGAAAGTAGGTGTTCTTGGGCTCCCAGATCCCAATCTACTTTCGGCGCCTTGCTGCTTCAAGAGTCGATCTACTGCTGCTGTGTTTTGCTATTCTCTGGGAGGGCCTGAGCCCAATCTACTGTATCCGCCTTCCTACTTCATGTTTTACCTACGCCTTCAGACCAACGTGTAGCCGTCGCTGCTGGCGCAGCCGTCACAGCCGCCGCCATCGTGACGTTTTCGTCGCCCGTCGCGGGCGCCTCTGTCGGCAACGCACCTCGGGACTACAATCAGAAGGCCGAGGGCCCCAGTTTCCGTGCTCAGTTGTTGCCCTTATTCGGTCGCCTTTCTTGGGGGAATGTTTGTTTGTTTCGCATATTCTCCGCTTACTCCCGATAGGTTTGCGCCGCGTTGACGCGGTGGCGACCCATGCAGAGGAGTGCAAGGTTGAACGCCGCCAGTGGCCCGAAACCAGCCGATCGCGAACGATCTGTGCTGCGGAGACGCTGCGATCGTTCAAGGTTGGACGATCTACGGGGTGTGTGAGACCAACGCCGACGTCGTTGCGACGCGGACCTGCCATAGCCTAAACCCACCAGGCTTACGGACCTGACTTCCTGTCTGTGCGCCCGCTCGGCCTCTCCGCCGCTGGGGCGCAATTCTCCTGCCGCGGTCGGGGAGCCCGCCTGCCTCGCAGCGGAGCAGGGTGCGCGCGCGGCGGGGGCCAGCGCCCATGGAGGTCGGCCAGCGCCCTCCGATCCCTTCTGGCTGGCCGAGGGCCTGTGATGCATGGGGAGCCGATTCCCCCCTCTCAGAGGAGAACGAGGTACCCATACCGCTACCCTTCCCTCGTTGCTCCCTTGTTGGGCCTCCTGGGAGTGGGAGGCCCTTGTCGCCACCGCTGGATTCGCCTCGAAATTCTGCTCCGAACGCACCCCAGCAGAGGTCTAGGGTGTAGCAGTACTGGTACCTTTTGGTTTCCCCACCCTCCTTTCTTGCTTTTTTTTGCGACGTGTGTTTGAGAGCTGTAATGCGGCCGGCCAGGGTTCGCGACGTGGCCTTGGCTGGCCCGGGCTGGCGCGTCCCCAAGGGAGAAGGAGGGCGGCCAAGAGGGGGCGGGGCCTCCGTGATTTGGGTGACTCGTCCCTGCTGTTGCTAGTTCCCCGTCAGTTCTTGGATTGGCGAGGACCTCACGGAGGCGGAAAGATTTTGACGAACGCATTGGGCCGATCTCGGTAGGCGGCAGGCGGCTGTGGTCACAGATCCATTGGCTCCCGAGGTCTTGAGGTCGTAGCGGAAGTGTCCAGGGCTCCCAGAGTAGAGAGCAGAGGGACGAGGCTATAGATTTCAGAGAGCAGCAAGATCATGGGGAGCAGACGGAGTAGATATTAGAGACTAGATTGTAGAGAGCATGGCTCAACGCGCAAAGTGCAGAGTGCAGAAAACAGATAACATAGATCAATTTGCGAACACAATTCTTCACGCTTCGCCCATTCAGAAACCCTGCCTATGAGACATGATAGGAAAACGGACGAAGATACACATGTAGTGAAACAAAGCAGGCGACCAGGGTGAACAAAAAGATCAATGGGAGCAAGGCGGTGGTTTTAGAGAGCCTCTTCGGGCCATCCCTGGGGCCCGCGTGGGGGCGAGGGAAGGAGGATGATGATGAGGAGGAGGAGGAGGAAGACGACGACGACGATGACGACGACCGCGACGGCGAAAAAGAGGCGGAAAAGGAACGGGAAGTCGATGAGTGCAAGGACGAGGAGGAGGAGGAGGAGGAGGAGGAGGAGGAGGAGAAGGACAACGATGACGATATAGCCTTCAAAATCGCCTCTTGGAGCCCTCTTGGGTCTCTTTTGGGGGATCTTAGGGTCCTCTTGGGGCTTCCCTGGAGGGCCTCTTGGGGCCATCTTGGAGGCCGTCGATCAAAAGGGGGGGGAGCTCATCAATATCTCTTGCGGCGGTCGTGCGGCCGATCTTGGGCGCTCTTGGGGCCGCCTGGGGGGGCCTCGTGGGCCCTTCTTGGGCCTCTCTTGGGCCATCTTGGGGCCATCTGGAGACCTCAACAGCACATCGGAAGCGAAGAGGCGAGAAGTCAAATATCCTCGGTGTTCCTCAGGTGTTCTGATGATTTGGGCCTCTTGAGAGTCTGGAGGGGGCTCCGAGAGCACGTGGAAGTGGTTATCCTGGAGCCTCTTGGAGGTATGTCAGAAGCTATCTTGAACCATCGTTGGTTATGTTGATCCATATTTGAGGCTATCTTGGAGCATTGGACGCCCTCTTGGAGCAAACTTGGACCATCTTGGACTCTCCAATCCGTCGCGAAGCCCCCCACAAACCTGAGGGAGAAGGGGGCAGGGTACCCCTCCCCGAAAGGCATATTGTTTTTTTGCCAGGGGAAAGAATGACTCGTTAGACCACTTTAGCCCAAAAGACTACTGGGACTTGGATGGTGCTAGAGATGGAGCAAGCTGGGGGAGGGAAGCGAGTTGATAATATGTATATCATGGCCAATAAGTGGTAGAAGGTAGCAAGCAGAGTGTAGAGAGCACAGGGTAGATAATAGAGAACCAGGGGCATCATGTTCGCCATTCTTTGCCCTCGCCCGCCAGCGTGCTACCTTGACGCTTTACGATCAACTGATCGGGACACTCGTCCCGTGCAGTCCCCCACCCTCAACACTGAAGTGTTGCTGCGCGCGTTGACGATCGCTCGGCATGGCCTGAGCCCTGCATCCCCATAGAAAGGCCAATCGTCGCCATGAAGTAAACGGGTACTGAGGAAAACGGGTCTCAATGTTGTCGGACGTTTTCGAATTTTCAAGGCCCTCCACGGCGGGCTCCAGGACAGTCGGAAGACGGCTCAAGATGAACGCACATGGATTGAGAAAGCCCTCGGGGGTGATGACCCGTTTCCTTTAGGATCCGTCTTGTTCTTGCCAAACAGATCAGAGCGCGAGCTAAAGATTGTTTTGCCGATTCGTAGAATGGTTTGTTTGTTTTTTTGATGTTTTATCAAAATAAGCTTGCCCTATAGAAGTCCTAGCTCAAACTCTACTAATTGGTCACTTGCCCCCCCCCCTAATTCCTATGCCCCTCCCCTAATTCCTGAGGCTATGCCTATGCCTATGCCTATGCCTATGCCTCCCCCCTAACTCTTATGCATACGCCTATGCCTATGCCTGCTTGCTTGCTTGCTTGTGCGCTTGCGCGCTTTCGCGCTTGCTTGCTTGCTTGCTTGCTTGCTTGCGTGCTTGCGCGTTTGCTTGCACGATCGCTTGCTTGCTGAATTGCGGATTGCTGTGATTCCTTGATTTGAGTCGTCTAATCTATTGAGGGTCAACGCTGGCTGATATTCAGCAATTGGCGGAACGAAAATAGAACCAGGGACAACGAACACAACACGACATCGGAAATCCCTGTTTCGCTCGCGACCTAAAACGTACATCATGCCTTAGACACTCGATTTCTGCGTGGCGCCACGCTGGCCGCCCCCGCCGACACGCCGATGCCGAAGAGCTTTGGGCGCTCGGCATCGTGGGGGTCAATCGACGACGGGGATCGATGAGCGCAGGAAAGCGGCAACCTAACACGGCCCCAGTACGGCCCCCGAACTGCAACCGCGGGCCCACAAGGTGTTCTCGATAAGCCGGAATTATGTTTTCAACGTGGCAATGGCACCCCGAGGGTTGAGTTACCTCTGGTCTGGCTTCGTCGTTTTAGCGCTCTTGGCCAAAATACCTACAGTGAAATGTACGCACGCCCTCGCAGCTACGACGAATTCTTCGAATTTGGTCGTCGGGCTTCTGTCGCCCGAGGGCCATAGGGCCATAAACCACTACCGCCCCCAACCAACGTACTATCGCACCACGCTGAGGGTGCGGCTGATCGAGAAGGTGCACGTTTGAGATAGTTTTTCCCAACCATCCTGTGGTGTTGGGTCCTCGTTTTGAAGAGACGGTGCCCCGCGTTCCTCTCCTCTCCTCTCCTCTCCTCTCCTCTCCTCCTCTCCTCCCCTCCTCTCATCCTCTCCTCTTCACCCACCCAGTACACCGCTTCGTGGCTCCATAGGGAGCTCCACCGAAGGCCCCAGTGCTCGCGCCCGCATGCGTCACCCACACTCATTTCGGCACACCCCTCACACGTTTCGTGGCTCCATAGGGAGCTCCACCGAAGGCCCCAGTGCCCGCGCCCGCATGCGTCACCCACACCCATTTCGGCACACCCCTCACACGTTTCGTGGCTCCATAGGGAGCTCCACCGAAGGCCCCAGTGCCCGCGCCCGCATGCGTCACCCACACCCATTTCGGCACACCCCTCACACGTTTCGTGGCTCCATAGGGAGCTCCACCGAAGGCCCCAGTGCCCGCGCCCGCATGCGTCACCCACACCCATTTCGGCACACCCCTCACACGTTTCGTGGCTCCATAGGGAGCTCCACCGAAGGCCCCAGTGCCCGCGCCCGCATGCGTCACCCACACCCATTTCGGCACACCCCTCACAGGCGTTTCGTTTCGCACACATGTGGGCTCCACCGAAGGCCCCAGTGCTGGCGCCCGCATGCGTCACCCACATCTAATTAGGCACACCCCTCACACGTTTCGTGGCCCCATAGGAGCTCCGCCGAAGGCCCCAGTGACTGCGCCCGCATGCGTCACCCACACACAATTCGGCACACCCCTCACACGTTTCGTGGCCCCATAGGGAGCTCCACCGAAGGCCCCAGTGGCTGCGCCCGCATGCGGTTCCACCCCCCATTCTGGCACACCCCTCACACGTTTCGTGGCCCCATAGGGAGCTCCACCGAAGGCCCCAGTGGCTGCGCCCGCATGCGGTTCCACCCCCCATTCTGGCACACCCCTCACACGTTTCGTGGCCCCATAGGGAGCTCCACCGAAGGCCCCAGTGGCTGCGCCCGCATGCGGTTCCACCCCCCATTCTGGCACACCCCTCACACGTTTCGTGGCCCCATAGGGAGCTCCACCGAAGGCCCCAGTGGCTGCGCCCGCATGCGGTTCCACCCCCCATCCGGGAGCTCCACCGAAGGCCCCAGTGCTGCGTGCGGTTCCACCCCCCATTCTGGCACACCCCTCACACGTTCGTGGCCCCATAGGGAGCTCCACCGAAGGCCCCAGTGGCTGCGCCCGCATGCGGTTCCACCCCCCATTCTGGCACACCCCTCACACGTTTCGTGGCCCCATAGGGAGCTCCACCGAAGGCCCCAGTGGCTGCGCCCGCATGCGGTTCCACCCCCCATTCTGGCACACCCCTCACACGTTTCGTGGCCCCATAGGGAGCTCCACCGAAGGCCCCAGTGGCTGCGCCCGCATGCGGTTCCACCCCCCATTCTGGCACACCCCTCACACGTTTCGTGGCCCCATAGGGAGCTCCACCGAAGCTCCAGTGGCTGCGCTCGCATGCGGTCCCACCCCCCATTTCGGCACACCCCTCACACGCTTCGTGGGTGGCTCCATAGGGAGCTCCACCGAAGGCCCCAGTGGCTGCGCCCGCATGTGGTTCCGCCCCCATTTCGGCACACCCCTCACACGTTTCGTGGCCCCATAGGGAGCTCCACCGAAGGCCCCAGTGGCTGCGCTCGCATGCGGTTCCACCCCCTTTTTTCGGCACGCCCTTCACACGTCTCGTGGCCCCATAGGGAGCTCCACCGAACGCCGCAGTGGCTGCGCTCGCATGCGGTTCCACCCCCCCATTTCGGCACACCCCTCACACGCTTCGTGGCTCCATAGGGAGCTCCACCGAAGGCCCCAGTGGCTGCGCTGGCATGCGGTTCCACACCCCATTCTGGCACACCCCTCGCACGTTTCGTGGCCCCATAGGGGGCTCCACCAAAGGTCCCAGTGGCACTGCCCGCTTGCGTCCGCCACCACCCAGCACAGCCCTTGTTCCCTGCGCTTCACCCACCCAGAACAGCGCTTCGTAGCCCTATAGGGAGCTCCACCAAAGGTCCCAGCGGCACCGCCCGCATGCGTCCGCCACCACCCTGCACAGCCCTTGCTCCCTGCCTGCGTTTCACCCACCCAGTACAGCGTTTCGTGGCCCCATAGGGAGCTCCACCGAAGGTCCCAGTGGCACCGCTCGCATGCGTCCGCCACCACGCAGCACAGCCCTTGCTGACCGCGTCTCACCCACCCAGTACAGCGTTTCGTGGCCCCATAGGGAGCTCCACCGAAGGTCCCAGTGGCACCGCCCGCATGCGTCCGCCACCACCCAGCACAATTGCGGCATTCACAACTGCATATGGTTGGGTCCTTCGCCAGGCTAATTTTTATCCTCAAGGGATGGCGGGCGTGACCAGGGTGGGGGCAGGGGGGAGGGGGTCGGTCATGTCACGTCTCGCGCCAGCGCCGTCGGGAAACGCTTGACACTGGCGAATTCCCCATCGGCGCTGACGCGAGTCGTGACGTGACCAGGAGTGGGGGGAGGGGGGACCGGGGCTGGTAACGTGCGTTATCGCCAATAATCGAGAAATCGATTAATGCACATTTCTTCATCTGCAGTTTATTCGTCCCTCTTCAAAAATGTTTCCTCCGAGCCTGATTTGTCGCCTGCAGCTGACAAAGACGAGATGCCCCGTTTTGGGTAACGCGTTCCCGAGGCGGCCTTCGGGGCAGGAGAAGATAGCCTGCAGCTTAGCCATGGAGGCGCCCCCGCCCTAAGTCTGCATTATTTTCCTGGAATTTTCCTCCGAGCCTGGCGTTTCACTCGTCGCTGACCTGGACACGAGGTGCGCTCCGAGCCCTGGATCCTGATCCCCTCGCGACGACCCAGGCGGTGGTGCCGCCCCCCCCCCGTCCCGCCCTCCGCCGAGGTCGCGGCGGGCGCCACCGCCGAGGCCGCGTCGCAGGTGGAGGACCGCGCGGCGGTGCGGTGGCAGGCCGCGCGGCAGGAGGCCGCCGAGGAGCGACGCAGGTTGAGGCGTGGGGCTGCTGCTGCTGCTGCTGCTGCTCTTGCTGCTGATCCTCCTGTCAGCGAGATGCGGGAGCCCGCCTCCCGTGCGACGGGATATTTTTCGATCGGCCCGACGACGGCCCCTCTTTTTTGCAAGACATCTGCCAGCATCAGGCTCACGCACCATCCCAGAGGTCGACGTGTAAAAGAGCGGTCGGTGCCGGAGTTCGATTCACTCGGCTCGAGCGCAGGCAGCGCCACCTCCCAGCAGCGGACGCTAATTACTGGGGGGATGATCGGGCCAAGCTATTGGCAACAGATGTTCGAAACACGACGACGGGTGAAGAACCCCCTCCCCCAAGGCGGGGTAGCTATGTCCCCCAGCACCCGCGGGGCAAGAGAAGGAAGGAGGAACTCAAGATAACAGTAATCCGTAGCACCACGCAGTCG